TGGAGTTATTTTTTTCTTATAGAAAATATTTCCTCTTTTTATTTGTTTTGTAATGGTACTTGATTTTTGTTTTTGCACAAGGAAAACATTGCGCTGACTACAGTCAGGGCATGTGAACTTTTGGTTTTCATCATAACTAATTTTAAGTGTGTGTTTATCTGAAACTTGCAGTTAATTGGATGATGCAATTGCTGACTTCATGCACACAGTTGTGAGCTGAGTACTTAATAAKCTGTTTATAGCACATCCCATTCTGTCTGCTGATATTTATATAAGCAGGAAATAAGGATATTTTTCAGAAGAGTTGGTCAATAACAGTAACTAATATTTTGAATTAACCCTCTTGGCAGATAAGTCACTATGTTCTTGCCTCTGCAGCTTGAGTGGTATGGAAGAAATTTTATTATTCAYGTATGGCAATGCAGTTAGCAGTAGGCATTTTTTATGTGGAGTGATTAGCTACTATTGGGGGACAGAGCTTAAACATTTTCAGGCAAGGTTTCCGTAAGTTTAATTTTTAACTGTATACTGACTTGCCAACATTCCTAATTATAATTAGACTGGGCAGTTAGCCACTAACTCTTCCTTCTCATCTTTCTGCCCTTGCTGTTCTGGTATCCTGGCAGTCCTTATTTTTCTCCTCATGTGTCTACCCTTAGCTTTGGTACATTTGTGTCTGGCAGCAGGCTCGGAACAGGTAGTCTGGTATTCCTTATTTCCCTCTGTTGTCAGTGTGTTGGGATAAATGACGTGTGTGTGTACCTGATCTGTGAATAAGCCTTTTCCTGTACGAMAGAAGTTCTGAAAATGCAGTTCCTCCTTCCTTCCTTCCTTCCCCTYCCCTGTCACACCTCTCARCAGCTCTCAGGCAGCTCCACAGACATGTTCCAGCAAATGCCAGGGCTCTTCAAGAMGGACTATAAATTGTGGATATAATCCCTACAGTAGGGTAGTGCTCAGGTTAGCCCAGTGAATTTGCAATGTTATGGTTACAAGGGATTTAAGGGCATTATCTTTCCTGTGCAAACAGTGCCTGAAAGTTCTTCAGGGATTTTTCCYGTATAGCTCTGGCAGCTAAAGACAGATTGCAGAATATGATTTTGAGAGCAAAAAGTAAAGGTTTCTGCTTCCTGACTTTTTTTTCTAAATGAGCATGCATGTTATGTACAGATTAAATTAAAATAAGTTTAAAATATATTTATAAAGTGATTGTAAGTTAAATAAAATGCTTTTTTGTTGCATGAAACTGTTAAATTTTGAAGTGTAGTATGTAAAGATCTAGAAGCAGGGGAAGATGCCCACTCCAGTGCCATAAGAAAGCTGAATCTTACCCATCCATGCCCCTCTGTTGAGAATTCCACTGCCAGCCACGTGGTAGAGGATCACGTTGGATCTGACAGCTGTCACAGGGAGAAATGGTGTGTATCTTCTGGGTTTGGCCAGAAGAATTTGGGAGCGAAATGCCAAATTAGCAGAGAAAGAAGCATTATTTCCTTTTGTAAACAATCTCACAAGAAGATAACAATTTCTTTGAAGCTACTTACAAATTCTGGTATTGGGATTCTGGTAGAGTAAGTCCAGACAGGATGAGAAGAAAWAGCTGATGGGCAATAAAAGATGCATGATTAACCATTTTGTTTGGTTCAGTTTATTTGCTGAAGTTGTTGTATATTTATTCTCTTTTGGAAACCTAAAATGTATATGTTGGTCATTCTGAGTGGATACTTCCTCTTATTTACAGTGGTGTATAATTATACACAGACTCTGACAAATATAGCAGTGTCATAGAGCCTATTTTTAGGCTCAGATGTTTGTTCTTATGATCTAATGTGCCGAAACTTAGCCAAGCTGTGAGCAAGAAAATCTTACAGGCAAACAATACCATGGACCTCGTGCGTAGCCCGGTACCAAAGAAGGATCGTCTGTACCAGGACAGGGCGTTCTGGCTTTTTCCCCTCTGTCCACTTGGCTTCCTCTGTTCTAGACAGACAGGATGAGTTGGTGAGGTACAGCATACAGTTGCTGGGCTGGAACAAGCTGTTTATTCTCCATTGTTTCTAATCATGCATACCTTATTATGTTGCTTTCTTTTTTCTTTAACCAGGATTTTCCGTTGCTGCTTCACTGAGGATCAGTGTTGTTCACTATCCCTTTGCTCAAAATAGGTATCCCRTGCTTGTGTGAGCAGTCCCACTGACCCTTCAGCAGGATAACTGTATCTGTGTCCTTCCTCCTCATGCAGGACTGGAATGAAACAGGGAAAACCCATTTGCCCACTTCTGAGCCTCCTCAGTCACTGCCAAAAGGTTTATTGATATTCATTAACCTTAAGAACAGGGTAACATCTGAAAAGGAGCAAGCAGAGCTGAAACAAATGCTGTGCTCAGAATCAATGTACAGCAATGACTTAACCCAAAACCCAGGAGCTAAATTGATGTTTTCTGTGGTGTTACTTTTCTGAGGTTTATATCTGCATTTTAACTTGTGCAGTGGTAACTCTGGGTTTGCTGTAGGGTTCCACCTGCTTTGCCTCTGCACTGCTTCCTACCCTGCATTTCCTTACGTTAAATCCATCTTTCAGCATCTCGAGATGAGGATATGTTTTTCTGCCTCTGGCAAGCYGCTAGCTGTATCCTTCTCCTGTTACTGAGGCTCCCCCCCGCCCCTCTTGTTAGAGGTCAATCTGAAGTGCAGGAAAGAATGATTATGATAACAGGCGGAAACAGGAAGAATCATGCTTTCTTTTTCAATCTGTTTTTTATTATTGTTTTAATGTAAAACATTGTTTCAATTAAATGCTGACCTGTGCAGTGGCGTGTGCGTGCACATGCTGAAATGAATTCCGGCTTTGTTTGGAAAGCTGTGACCTCTYTATTCCTGTTCTGGATCAAGGCTGTTGCCTTTCAAACCCACTGCTGAGGACAGAAATTTCACTCATACGCCTCATAGCACTGGCAGTAACAAACCCTAAGAGCAGTGTTCTCCTTGGGCATTTTAATTTGCTGTTCTCTCTCAGTTTTTAAAATAAGYATGCTTGGTTTTAAGGCTTAGTCATATAATGGAATAAAGATAACCATGACACCATTAAAATGGTTCAAATGAGTGCTGGGCTACACTGACACTTGGTGGAGCTGCTAGGTATAAAATGAGCAGATACCTTTATCATTTRCTTGCTTTCTCTATGCCTCAATTTCATGGAGTCTTATTTACTTGCATGTTTTTAAAGTGAGGAAGTACAAGACTGGACCCTAATGCCTGCTCCTACCCCACCARGTCTTAGCTGCAATGACATGGAATAATGAGTTTTTTATTTGTTTGGATGTTAATTTTAAGTCTGGGAGGTTGAGTCTGTGTTGTCTCCACTTAATTTTAAGCAAACAAAAAACTTAACTTCTTCAGAGGAAGGAAGAAGGGGGTGAGGAATAGCATGAAAATTGCCTGGGTTGTTAAAATGAGTCAGTTATATTTTATACTTGTCCTCTGGTGACCAGATTTTCATTTTTTCCTTGGCCCCATGGAATGTTTTTATTTATATATCTTATTAGTTTTGGATGTTCTTTGCAAGGGGAAACCTGAATTACAAACTTTGTTTCTCTCTGTTATTGTATTAAGAGCCTGGCTATTGGATGCAGGTGCTCGGTCTCTGCTGTAATTGGCAGTTTATGGAGAGACACCAGCTGTACTGCTTCACAGGGGACATATTATATCTCTTCACACATTGTATGTATTGTAGGAAATGCAGAATTCCTGTCATTGTCAGAAACTTTGCATGTCTGCATCTACCAGTGCCACTGCAGAAAAAAAGACAACAATCTGCTGAAAGTTAAAACCATGTCTATTTTCAGAAATGGTTTATCCCTTTTATTGTCCTTTCATGTAGCACTAATTGATGTTTTGTTTGGTTAAATAKAGAAGAGATTTAACAAACGTTTGTCTTTTTATGGTCATGCAAGGTGAACTGGTGTGGTGTGAACTGCTTCATTTGTTYTGGAACACACAGCAACAGATACCGCATAATCTGGATGTGTGTATACCTGTACATGAATATCATCATGAATTAATACATTTAAAAAATACATTTAACATTTTCAGTCACAGAACAGGGTTGGAAGCAGAAGCAATAAAACTCTAAATTGTACTAGGCCTTAAAAGGGATAATTACACAGTGGGAAAACCACCCTGCTTCTGGGCATCTTGTACAACGGGGTCTGCAGTTGCTCTCTGGGGAATGCCTGGGAGCTGCCAGTGGTACTGCTCGGTCCTGCCCGAGGAGTATTGATGTGTGAGTAGGTGGGACTCGTGTGGCTTTTGAGGTATTGATTTATAGGAGGAAACTAGGAATTAGTATCAAGATTTATAGATACTGTGTGTGAGTGATTTGTCCAAACGAAGGTGAAGGTAAAAGTTCTGCCTGYGTTTGGAAAGTGTGATCGCTGAAGGAAACAAAGAGCTATTGAGTGCCTCAGGGAATGTTCGTTCCATATCRAGAAAAATACAGGTGTCTGGCATTTTATTAGATGAAAAAATAGGGTTTCAATGGCATGAAAGAAATTGCATCAGGTTTTTTTTCCTAAGTTTTGAAGATACTGTCCTGCTAATAGGGAAGTGGGCAAGGTTGCAGATACACCTTGTGACCTGATTTAACTTTGTGAATGTTCATTTTCCCTCTTCCTCTATGGTTTAGAAATGCATTCTAAATCAATGTATGGACATTTGGACGCTTTGGTTAGCTTCATCTCTGGGAACACGGGATCAAGACTGTTTCATATTGTCTTTTGGAACAGATAYAGTTCATATTCTCTCTGTGGTTGTTAAAGCCCCTTTTTTGCGCTCTCTGATCGGGAGCGTCTTGTATGTTCTTTGCCTCATTTCAGGCCCAGCACTGAGACACTCTTGAACATCATTTCCTTTCCCRTGCTGCAGTGTGTTTGTGTGTGGTACACTCTGCTTGTGAACCAGGAGGAAGTCTACCTATTTCCATGTTTCTTTTGTTTCACTAGGTTTGTATGCCCTGCGGAGAGCCCTGGGGAAGAGGCCCAACCTGTTAGACACCGAGGTGGCTGGGTCAGTGATGATTGCTTTCAATGACTTCCTGCAGGGGATGAATGATGTCAGGCCCAGTGCCATGAGGGAGGTGGCAATTGATGTGCCAAAAGTAAGTTGTYTTGTGTAATGTGTGGCAACATGGTCAGGGCCCTGTTAAGAGAGGAATTTTATGGAGTGTAAGCCTCAAGTTACTGGTAAATGTTGTGCATCATCTTTGTGTATTTGTTTATGTATTTATAATTTGGAAGAACCATTTGCAGAATGGTTCCTGATGCTTTAGGAGGAGTTTGTAGTGCAGGAGCTATCTCCTGTTTTGCAGTTTTATATGCTGAGTGGGTTGATAAAGTGAAAATCTTGAGATGTCTGTTCAAGAAAGGTTCTGAACAGCTGTGAAAGCTGGAACCTTTTGGAAAGCAGACACAAACTAAAGCAGAAACCAACTCAGCATTTTGAACCAAAGTGTGTTGAAACAAAGCTTTGAAGAGTTTGATTACTCTGATTTTTATGTAAATGTGGCTGAATGTCTTCAGTGGCATTATATGGTTTTAAGTGAAGGCAGAATTCGATGCTGGTAGGCAGATTATCACTGCCAGGTCGTCACCTGTTAGTGACTGTCATTATATGAACAGTTCATTTGTCAGTGCCAGGTTCATCTTTACCCTGCTCACTGCCCTATCAATTCCATGTTTWCATAGTTCAGTAGCGGACCCAACATAAATTGGCTGGGTAACTCATTCAGTTTAAGGCAACTCTGATCTATGTTAAGGAGATTGAACAAAAGAATTTTGTATTTAATCTGACTAAATCCTGATTCTGTGAACAGTTGTGCTGGTGTTTCTCAGCAGCTCCTCAAGCCCTAGAAGAAACCATTTATGTTTCATTGCATGAAAATGAGTCATTTGGGAATTAGATTGCACAACTGTAGACCCTTATTCCCAAACTTATAGGAATGGGAAATAAAATCTGCAAACCGGATGCCGTACAAAGCCAGCTCGGATGTCACACTTGGCTTGTTAAGAGTCCATGCTGTGCAGGGTGGAATTGCCTGGGCTGGCCCCAGACAGCTTTTCCTGGAAATGGTGTCATGGCACCAATATCCGCAAGGCTAAGTGGCTCTGCTGAGAGCCAGARTTACTGATTCTTGCCTTGCTCATTGTGCTGCTGGCTCATGGGTTCAGGTTGTTATCCCTGTGCTATGCCTTTTAGGTGCACCAACCCCTTTGGAGCCAGCAGGTAAAAGCAAGGTCTGAGGTACTGCAGGAAATTTTTTCTCAATCCTGGCCAACCTACTCCTCAGGCTCCTGTGYCCACTAAACCATCCTGCCAGTGGCTTCTTTGACTGTCACTTGATCTTATTTGCTTAACATGCACTGAGTCATTGGAGTRCTACTGAAATTCGTTCCTTTTTTGAAGGGAAGATAATGTAGTGGAGGTTAGTATTTGTGCTGACAGGGCCTGCATTTCCACAAAGTAATGCCTGTTCTCTGAAGATGTGAGTTTCAAGCCATTTCCTGTTGTCTGGGGTGTGTTTAAAACTGGAATGTAATGTATTGGATGCAACAGATTTTGTGTCCACTCATACCACTTATCAAAGTGGTAAAGTCCCTGAAAGAAGGGAGTTTGGAGCTAGATAGTCTTTAGGGCCCATTTCAACTCAAAATATTCTGTAAATGCTATAATCTAAAAATACTTGGTAAAAATAACTTAAAACACTAAATAAATTATAAGATTGAGATACTTTTCCAAAGAGAAGACAGGATTTTGAGYTACATTAATAATATCAGCTTTTTAGTTATTTATTGCAGATATAATACTCACTTGGCAATCCCCTTGGTGTGGATAGGACTTGTGGCTTCTGTAATTAGTTCTAAGTAAAACCATTGACTTACATGAGATTTTGGTGATTTTTAACTTCATTTTTCAGATGGTGGGGCTTTTTCATATTTCACTGCTTTGCAGTAGCCACGTGCCAGTCGGATAACAAGAGTCCAAAGTAACTTCTGAATAACGCCACAATTCCTTCCTCTTGTGTCTGAATTGTTTGTTGGCTGTACCAAGGAAAATGCAAAATCCTTGCTCCCTGGTTCTGTGCAGTGGTTGCCTTCCCTTTTTACAGMATCTTTCTTGAACTTTTCTGTGTGTTATGACCTTTTTAGAAGGCTGCTTTTTCTGCAGCTGGGATTGAGGAGAGAAGGGATGCATGTTATAAATCAGGAGGTTAATACTGCASTTCTTTGGAGAGTTGCACTGCAGTTGCCATTCCTCCCTGTCCTATGGGTCTTTCTGAATTTTTTTTTTAGAGAGTGCTCTGGGTTATTCTTGCCTTTTTCACTCCCTTTACTGTAATTCAACACTCAGATTTGTGTCTTTGCAGCCAAAAGGTTCTGGATGACAAATCCTTTGCAGGTCTGCTTTATTTCTTTATTGCTAGTTCTTAATAACCTCTGGGGAGCTGCTGCTCTGCAATGCACTCCGAGCTCTGTTGACTTGGGGAGAGCTAAAGATTATAGCAGGAATGAAATCTTGGTGTCTTACACACTGTAGCAGAGAGCTGGCTTTGTATGTGTGAGCCCAGCCCCAAGGCTAATCTTTAAAGCCATTTCCACAGTGACACAACATCACACCTCATTGCTGGTGTTGTAAGACCTTTCATTTGAGTYCCTGTGCAGGTGAAAGCAGTGTAACTATTGCCAGTGGACTGTTCCCCACCCACACACACACTTATTCTCTCTTTTTGAAATTATGAAAATTTGTTCTGTTTAGAATTCACCAGAATGTGAAGGTGGTGATTTATTAGCTATTTTTGCTTTTAATGCTATTGCTTCACCAATTCCACACCTTGTACTGTGGAAATTTAAAATGTAAGCAAAGTCAGAATAAGTCTCCAGGTTGCTGGAAACAACCGTTATGTGAGGTGGTCATTATTTACCTTTAAGGTTTTTTTCCCTGGCTTTTTATATGCATGTAAAGTACTGCTAATAGGTCTTRCCTTCTGTTGCTGAATGTTATAGGGAGTTCCTGATAGCCTAATTAATTTTAAGATGTTCTTGTTTATGTTTGTAAAAATCTTTATCTAGATGGAAAGACATGATGATAGGAATGACTAGTCCATGCTTTACAAGGTATGAGTAAGGATTGATACTGAAAAAGAGAACCGATCTTATGTTGYATTCCTCCCTAAGAAAAAGTTGTCTAAGAGCACCAAGATTTTTGTGCAGTGTACAAAGCTCCTAGATAAAATCAAGTATTGTGGGGGAAGGTGATACATATTTTTAAATGAAATTTAAAACACACTATTTCATATCTGACTCAGAAACACAACCTTTTTTGTGTTTGCTCTTTGCTCTCTGCTGCCTTTATAATTTTCTTCTACATCAAAATCTGACACTCAAGGAGAAATCTTATTTGGTTTGAGGTTTGGTTTGTCTTAAACAAAAGTGCTTTTACCACATCCAAATGCTCTTTTCCTTCCATGTCAATAGCAGACTGAATTACCTTTCTCAGTGACTGTCTGCTTCTAGTTYCTACTCCTTGTACCAGCATCAGGAGAAAGTAAAGACAAGCCAAGGGTGACGAAAGCAGTTTTCAGCTTGGGTGAAAGGCAATATCTTGCCTCTCAGCAGCGCTCTGCTTGCCTTTTYCATGTAACTGACTTTCCAGAGCTGAAGGATGATTTATGTTGAGCAAATTTCTGGAAGAGTGTTTTAAGGCAGAAGATTGTTTGATTTAGGTGTGCCTTGACATGTTTAATATTTGAAGTGGACAGGAGTGGATGGTGACAGGAGGAAGAGCAGGCTGGGGGGATGTGGGGAAAAGTCTCAGGCTTGTTGACAGCAATGTAGGAAGAGGTGTGGCAGGTTTTAGATCTGCCTGCTGTTTTGGGTAGGACATATTACATGTCCTTAGGTATTCCAGACATGCCTGTCTTGTGCTTCTCAAGAATTTTTGAAGAAGTGATTCATTAAAAGCAACTTCATGAAATAACCAGTRCATGTTCTACAGAATGTTCTTAATTTGTTCACTTTTTTAATAGCTCTGCTCCATGGTCTAAATTCAGCRAAACTGTCTGTGTTCTTCAGGTATCTTGGTCAGACATAGGAGGACTGGAAGAARTCAAGCTGAAATTGAAGCAGGCAGTTGAATGGCCTCTCAAACATCCCGAGTCCTTCATCCGCATGGGGATCCAGCCTCCCAAAGGTGTCCTGCTTTATGGACCTCCTGGGTGCTCAAAAACCATGATAGCAAAAGCTTTGGCCCATGAAAGTGGCCTCAACTTCTTGGCAGTAAAGGTAGGCCACACATTTTCTTAACACATGGATTAGAACCAGTAGTTTACCAATTTCCAATGTTAGAATCCAGTGGCTCAAAGTGTTTCTGATCCCTTATGTGCTCCAGCAAACACTCTATAAATATCAAGTAAGGTTTGTGTTTTCTTATGAAAARAAA